ATAGTAATAGTAATAATAGCAGCCTCTTTGCACTAAGTTGGTTCCTGGAAAAGCTGCTTGCAAAGGGACGTGTTTTTCCTGGAGTGCTTTTGCCAATGGGGCTTCTTAGTGCAAAAGGACAGGATAAACACACCTCATTAGCATCAGCAACAAGAAGACAAAAATGGTAAACTGGGCATCAGGGATCTCAGAATGCAGGACGGGGACTCGGGATAGCTGCGACTTCCCAGGGCATGGCAAGCAACCCTAGAGCCACATAGTTCCGGGGCTATTGGTTGCTTTGCAAGGCATGGTGTAAGACAGTCAAAAGGGCAAAGACGGGGGAGGAGATATAGGCAGGTGGGAATGGTAGTTGCTCATGTTTCTAAGCTATGGGGGTGGGAAGGACCAAGCCTAGAATCACTCAGATTGGGGTAGGTGCTCAGCTAACAACTGCTAAACCGTATTTAACAATGACAAGTGGAATTGCCAGGACTGCTGCATTAAGCTTGTGACTTCCCACTTTATGAGCATATTGGTTAGCAATGCAAATTCCATTTCCAATTGTGGTTGAAGTCAAAGACAACCTATAATCTGAAAAGGTTATATTATGATACACTGAAAACTGACAGTTTAGATAAACACTCAAATTATTTTTAGAAACCCACTGAAAAGTTTTTTTACTGATTATATTTCATGAAATGAAACAGTTTTACTCACCATTGCCACCAAAGACATGAATATCTAATTGTTCACAAAGGTACATCACAAATGTGTTCACCTGAGGCAGAAGACCAATGAAGAATACTATAGGGAAGCATAGTATAAACACTATAGGAGACAAAAATGATGAAAAGTCTTAAGTACATGAAGAACTGCTGACTAATTTTCCACATTTGGTGAATAAATGTTCTCTTTATTTTGGAGAAAGAATTACTTCAAATAGCTGTTGAATTTCATTTTTAGTAGAATACGAGCACTTATATGCATATGGCAGGAAATATATTCTATTTTCAGACTCATTTTCTACATAATAATTATAATAATCTATATTTATAAAATGTATTGTTTAGGTGCAGGACACTGTAAAACAGTAAAACATTTGAAATTAATTACGGAACAATTAAGGAAAACTAGCAATACATTAAGATTTATCTACAATATACTGACTCCTATGACTCAATTGCTTCTCTCAGAAGTTTACCTTTTTTTTCTAACTTCATAAGTTTAGCAGTACATTCCAAAGCAGTTACGTTATTTCTTTCAAAAGTAGCTTCACCGAAGCTCTTGATTGTACATCTTGTACTCTTTGTTGTTTATATGTGTTTGAGAAAGAATGAGACAAGCACAAGCAACGTCTTTCTTGATTTTTCTTCTTCAAATTAACATGTTCACCAGATTATATGACGTCTGAGATAAAACAGACTCTGATGGTTATAATGAAGTAAGCTAGGTGGAGAAACATGTATGATTGGTGTGTGTAAGTACTCCTCAACTTATGACGGCAATTGGGACCAGAATTTCCTTTTCCAAGAGATGTGGTTATAAAGTTTAGTGACAGTTCTGATGGTCAGCATTAAGAGATGACGTCGAGAGTACAGAAGAGGCACTGTGTGGATTGGATGTGCAAAGGTAGAAGTGGGTATGTTAGAGGCACAGGTCAGAAAGGGCAAGGTGAGCAAGAAGCATGAAAACTGTGAAGGATGCAACACAGGTTGGGGAAGGTGCATGAGGCTGACAAAATTGATGCAATAGGGCCATTTGGGACTTTCTGATCCTTCTCAGTTTCATTAATCCAGGGATAGGACACTGTGTTACATGAATTACAAACTCATTCTGCAGACCTCTAACACCTTAGGCTGCATTGTTAAAATCTGGTCACATAAATGGACAATTTTTGGTGGCACACATTTTTACTGCTTTTAACAAAAATAACAATGGCAATATTTGCGTTAAACTTCTCTAAACTAAAGGCAACATACTTCACCTCTAAATTCATCTCATTCCCAATACAAAAAAACAACAAAGCAAATGAGAGTTGAACATTTTTAGTCCTGCCCACACAATTGCATCACATGTCATCAGATATTTGTTTTCAGAGGCCAATGTATTTTCTAAAAATATCCACAACACAGGCTGAAAAGAAAGATTACCTATTTCTTCACTAAATGTCTTATTAGACAATCATTGGAGATGATTGCAGCTCATGATACATTCCCTAATACATTGGAGGGATACTGTTGGCCCAATAAAATGAAGGATATAGAGAGACATTTGTTTTCTTAGCACCCAAAATTGGGACTGGCAACTTGATTAGTAAACGCATTTAGTGATCACTAAATGAATGTGACAGTGATTATGATCTTACTTCAGATTTCCTGTTTTTCGGACCTGAGAAGGTTGTAAGTGCAAAGATTGGTTGTGATCTTTGTCATACTTGTCATACCTGTGAATTGTCGTTAAATGAGATAGATAGTCACTTAACAAGGACTACATGTACTGTTTTTCCCTATATTCTCTAGCATATAAATCCTGTACTACTTTGTTCTAGGACCTTCTTGAAACTGGTATAACAAAATACCATCTTATTTAAAGAGAAAGACAGAGAGGGAGCGACTAAAATGAAATAATTAGGTTCAACAGAGCAACGATGACACAGTAAGCAATCAGAACATACATCAGGGATGGGAGAACCGAGCAACCTCTAGACATTGCTATCTGGGATGGCTGCATTTTTGGTTCAACAGCATCTGGAAGGTTACAGGTTTTCCAGCCCTTATCTAAATGCACGAAATAGAAAAATCACTCACCCATTATCAAGTCCCTTGCTGAAAGCAGCAATAGTGGATTCATGAAAGCCATTCCATATAGTTGGAATCGTGCAGTAAAAGTGCTCTTGCTGCCATAGTCCAATAGCCAAATGAGACTGCAGCATATACAGAAGTAAACAGGCCTGCTGTAGGCAATGATTCGGTTATGACCCTGGAATACAAGTTTGAGAACTGCAACTTAAGTTGTAAATCCTTTCTTCAAAAATCTTTGACATGCTAGTTCCACTTAAAATAGAGCTTATGCCTTTTTCTAGATGAAGGAATAAGGATTTTCCTCCCACATTCCAATAAGACATTGCACAAGATTATTTTAATTCTGCATCAATTACATCAGCTTCATACTCCAAGCAAGTAACAAAATTCAAGTAACATTGATTTTCAGTTCTAAACAACAGTTCATTTTCTGCTATCATTAGATTTTATTTTTATTTTTTGCAGCTTCTACTAAAGTAATGGAAATTGCCTTAATTCTTTTTGTGACTTTCTTGAATTCCTATCAGGCACCACTAAAATAAATATTACTTTGTATGTGTATTGTTTTTCTATGTTTTGTGGGTAACGCTCTAAAAACTTTCTATTTAGAACATCACCTTCATTTTTAGTGGATTTAATTACTACATTTTGAACTACTGTGTTCCTCCAACAATACGCCCCCCCCATAGGAAGACCCAGCATATTTTCTAGGCATAAAATGAAATTAAGCCCCTCCCCCCAAATTTAGGCCTATTTTAAAACAAGAAAAATTGGTGGGGAAAGGTGGGGGGAACTTGCCGTTATGAGCGCCCCGCAGGCAGCCACACCTCACTACCAGCTGCTCCTAATGGCCGATCATGGCTGAGGGTTCCCTACCCCCACCAAGCACCTTTGCTGCAGACCCAGGTATGGTGCTGGTTGCAGGCCAGGTCAGTGGGCGGGCGGCGTCAGCATGAATGTCCGCCGGCAGCATTTCAGTCGCTTCTCAGGCTTCCGTAGCTTCCACAGTTCCTGCCGGCGCTGGCGTGAGCATCTGAGTCGTTCCCACTTTTCCTCCGTCCCCGCAACAGGGGAAAAAAACATTTTGAGGTACCTTGGAGCACCGCATGCTGCGTTTTCATTTAATCCCGAGTGGCTGGGTGGGCATGAGAAGAGCCGAGCAAGCGTCTCTGCCGCTGCTACCCTTGGTGCTCCAGCCTCGGGCTCTGCAAGTTTCCAAAAGTCCCGGTGCTCAGCCCTTTCCTGCATTCCAAGCACACCCAGGCCGAGCTGCAGCTGTCCCTCTCTCGCCAGTGCTGTCTCCAATAGTGGCAGCAGCGGAGGGAACCGTGGAATTTATGGAGGTGGCTCCGCCGCCCAAGAAGCAGCTGAAACGCTTCCACGGTTCCCGACGCTGCTGCCGCTATTGTTGGAGACAGCACTGACGAGAGAGGGACAGCTGCAGCTCGGCCTGGGTGCGCTTGGAATGCAAGAACGGGCTGTGCACTGGGACTTTGGGAAACTTGCAGAGCCCAAGGCTGGAGCACCAAGGGTAGCAGCGGCAGAGACGCTCACTTGGCTCTTCTCATGCCCACCCAGCTGCTCGGGATTAAACGAAAATGCAGCATGCGGTGCTCTAAGGTGCCTCAAAATGTTTTTTTCCCCCTGTTGTTGCGGGGACAGGGACGGGGATGGAAAAGCGGGAGCGACTCAGATGCTGTTGTTGGAGACGGCACTGGCGAGAGAGGCGCCAGCACTGGCGGAAACCGTGGAAGCTATGGAGGCCCAAGAAGCAGTTGAAATGCTGCCGGCGGACATCCATGCTGCCGCCACCCGCCCGCTGACCTGGGTCTGTAGTAAAGGCACTTGGCGGGGGTAGGGAGCCCTCCGCGCTCCGCCATGATCAGCGTTAGGAGTGGCTGGTGGTGAGGCCCACGGGGCGCTCTAGGCAAGGGTGCGTGGGGGAGGGAGAAATTAATTCACCCCTGAAAAGACGTCCTAGCCGTTTTTTCGGGGCTCAAAAAAAAAATAAGACCCGGCTTTATTATATGAAAAACATGGTATATACTGGCCATTTGTAAATGTATGATATACTGTATAGATTTTTTTAAACCATCAATGTTTTTAAAGTACAATTTCTCCTTAATGGCAATATTTTTGAAACAACAATAGATGCAGCAATTTTTGATTTATTAGACTACATAAAGACCAAACGGGAAAACTTACGTGTCGAGGTGATGAAGAATCTGGCTGAACGCTCTGAAAAAGTGCAAAGATAGAGAAAAATATTGTTGATGGTTTAGTATCTCCTAAGATAATTATCTGAACAAATGGTATTTAAAATGACTTCCCTGGATACATTAAACTTTCAGGACAGCTTTTTTTCAACTGTGTAAAAACATTTCTCAACTATTATCCAGAGCTAACGGGAACTAAACAGTTGATCATAGTTTAGATATGTCTAGCTGCAACAGAAAATAAACACAACTCTTAAGATAATTTCTTGGGGAGAAAATGACCATTTAACTGTTTCTCAAAGGAGATGATGTAGTTTGTTTTGCTGTTTTTATCCCCAATTGAAGGAGGAGATCAGGAAAATCTGCCTTGGACATTCCATATAGGTGTATAATCCATTTCTGTAAAATCTCGTAATGTGACATGAAGAATTCAGAAATATACAAAAAAGCCTAATTAACAATAAGAAGAACAAACTGTTTTTCTGTATGGGTTACCACAGAAAGGAAAACTGCGGTGCTTCATGGGAGGGAAAAATCCAAATCCAAATTCATAATCAAGCAATAGCCTCATTTGGGACAATCCAAATATCTCAAATTGTGAGTGAATTATTTGAATTATTCAGAAAACTTCTAGATATTTTTTTTTAAATATTATTCAATGTGGTTTTTAACAATTTGTAAGATTGCAAGTTTTATGAACCTTGTTTAAAAAAACAAAAACAAATTACAGAATTATAATATTCCCAAGTGTTAATCACTGCCTGTCTCACAAGTTACTACATCCACATACATTAATACTTCCCTTAAGATCTAGAAAAGAGTGGCTTCTTAATCACAATTATAAGAACAAGCCAGAATTGAATCCAATCCAATCCAATAAAATATATTTTGAAATCCAAACTTGTTCTACAAACCATATTTTATGCAAACTCCTGATCTATAGCAGGTGTACACTTAAAGGCAAAATTAATTTATTTCAAATCTCCTTCTCTGGCATACCAAAAAAAAGGAACTGAGAGGAATATGAAAAGATTTGTTCATATGTTGGGAAATATTATTCCACTCTCTCCATCAAGGTACTCTTTTAATGTCTTTATTCAAAAATAAGCTAGAAAACAGGGACATATTTTAAAATACTAACTCACACAGTAGACAACTGTAATAATTTAAAACTAAGCAACAGTGAGCATAAAAAATTACCTTCAGCAAAGAGTACTGGCAACTGGCAATCACCAAACAAAATTGGAAGACCCAGATGTCCTTGAAAAAGCCTTCTATAAGGAGTACAGAACCTAGGAAAGCCACTTGAATAGCTAGAATGACAGCTAATACATTTTCCAAGATCTCACGATTCCTATGGACAGAGGTGTATATGTTAGTGAAATGCTACAACAATAAGAACAAGGAATGCAAAAAAGCAGAACAAACCAAATAACTATTATTATCCAAATTCGGAAGACATATTTGCTTATTTTGATTTTGAAATACATTTTAGATATAATCAACCACATTTTCACTTTCAAGTGTGCAATTTATCCTAGTAAATAGATCCCAAACAGGTCATTATTTAATCCATCATTTAATCAAATCATCTGGAAATCCAAATATTAACAAGAAGAAATCACCAATTCCTCTTTGTTATTTTTTTTTTCTAATTAATAGAAAGTATTTTATTTGGTTCTCAGTAAACTATTTTTTGGCAATTTTACTCCTTAATGCTTTGATACTTCTAGCATCTTTAGATTTCTTTCCAAGCAGACTAATAACCTAAACACATTCTATGTTAGAATAGTATAAAGCATAAAAGACTTACCTGTCAAACAAAGCCAAAAGAGTCAATCTATCAAAATTGATACCAATCCAGACTTTGGGGAATATCCCAAAGCGATAATAGTGTTTTACTTTTTGCGATGGCTCCTCTTGTGGTTGGAGATGGTCCTGCAGATCAGGACTTAGGTCCATGTCTTGATGCTCCAGAAGATCGGTATCTATGGTCAACAGTCTGTTCAGTCTGATCTGAGGGAGGGAAAGCTACAATAACGTTAATAAGATTTTGCTTTCATATTTAACTTCTTCAGTCCTATTTTGAAAGAATATAAATGTTAGGAGAGAGATCTGCTTAGATAATGACTACTTGATTACCCACCATCTTTATAAGGCTCTAAAAGCATAGGGGAGAGAGCTATCTCTGGAAGAGTTATCTGAATGACATTTGCTTATGACCATTTACTCAAAAACACTACGGGTATGCCACAGGATATCTGGATTGGCTAATTGTCTCCAACAAAGAAATACATATTTTTTCCAAGGTTAAATGTGATAGCAGAGATAGCATACCTGCACACTGAGCTATTGGGATATGGAATGTTACATCAAAGGATGAGGCTAGGACTGCTCAACAAGGCATATGGATTGGTTTGGATATCAATGAGGCATTGATATATATTAGCCCCAATATATTAATGTAGCTATGTCATTCTAATTATCCGCAGCTATACAGGTAGTCCTTGATTTACAACAGTTCATTTAATGACTGTTCAAAGTTACAACAGCACTGAAAAAAATGGCATATGACTATTTGTCATACTTACAGCCATTGCAGCATCCCCACATCATGCAATCAAAATTCAGCTGCTAGGCAACTGACTCATATTTGTGATGTTTGCGGTGTCCCAGAGTCATGTGATCATTTTTTGCTACCTTCTGACAAGCAAAGTCAATGGCCAAGGCAGATTCACTTAACAACCTTGTTTAACTTAACAACTGCAGTGATTCACTTAAGAAATGCGGCAAGAAAGGTCATAAAATGTGACAACATTCACCTAACAAATGTTTCACTTAGCAACAAAAATTTTGGGCTCAATTGTGCTCATATGTTGAGGACTATCTGTAATGTCCAGCTGCTGAACACCTGAACCATAAATTTCAGGTGGTTAGCCTGAATTTAATTGGACCAGCTAAGTTTAAAATATAAAATTATACATAATTTGCAACAAATAGTAGCAAATGCAAAAACTTACTAAATCGTGTGGATAAAAACGAACTGAGGTAGAACTTGATACATGAGAATCCGTATCACTGAAACAAGAAGAAAAGTTTAGTTTGATACCTTAGTCTGTTTTCCAATTCAATTCAGTTTTTTGTTTTAGAAAATAGAACATTACCCCAATATTATAGAACATTACCCCAACATTACCCCAATACACACAAACACACACATTGTATTCAGAGGTGGTATTCAGCAGGTTCTGACCAGTTCTGGAGAACTGGTAGCAGAAATTTTGAGTAGTTCAGAGAACCGGTAGTGGAAATTTTGAGTAGTTTGGAATACCATCTCTGACTGGCCCATCTATTCTCTGCCTCCTGAGTCCCAGGTGATCGCTGGGTCTTCTTTTTTTGCCCTGCACGGGAGAACAGAGCTGGAAAGTAGGTTAGTGGGTTGGGGAGGGAACGGGATTTTGCAGTAACCTTCCCCTAGAGTGGGGTGGGAATGGAGATTTTAAAGTATCCTTCCCCTGCCACGTCCACCAAGCTCTGCCAGACCCACCAAGCCATGCCCACAGAACCGGTAGTAAAAGTTTTTGAATCCCATCACTGATTATATTGAAGCTAATGTTTGATTTTGGCAGAATATCTAATTGAGCCATAAGCCAAGATTTTCTCTTTCTTTCTGATGCCTGCACATATAACAATAATATTGGTATGTAGTTCCCGATTATTATTCAATCATAATTTTCAAAATCAATACATAAAGCCTGATATTTAATGCAATATAAATCTAAAACATTTGCTTTTAGTATCAAAATGCAATCCTACAAATATTATCCATTTATAAATAAATTGGTATTACTGTATAAACTACAGCTATTTTCAAAAACACACCAGATGTTAGATGTTCTTCTTGCAGCTGGCTCAAAATTCACAAGCGACATATCGCAGCCCCCCGTCTCATAGAGTGTGGAACTGAACTTACCTATTGAAGAAAATGTCAAGATAGATTAAATGTTATGAAATCTTTGAACACTGTAGCAACAAACATATTGTTATCTACAAACATACACGCTAATTTAAAAATCATGAATAAGTAATGATTTTTATAAGATCCTCAAAAAGATATTGAAATCAAGATTACAAATTAAAACATATGGCCACTTGTGAAGCTGGCTAAAGTATGCACCCATTTTTCGTCATCCTTGTTAACACAAACATTAAAAACACAATATCAAGACAATTAAAATATTTACAATGGGATTTTTTTGTTTAAAAATTTCACCTTATTCGGCTTACTAATTCCTACAGTAAGACTACCTTTTCTGTAGGAGAAAGCTAATAAATTGGATCTATGTATTTACAGAACAATAATTAAATAAACAAACAAGAGAGGTGAAGAATTTCTCTTGTATAATACTTGAATTTGAGACCCTTCAGTTAAATTAATTGGAAATATGCTTAAAACAGACATAAGCAAGGGCTTCTTTGAAATTATGGCAATGTATGTAATTTGCTCTCATGATAACTCTAATACCTAATGAAACCATGGAAACATGCTTCCATTAAAAAACTATATATTACTGGGAGCAACCCGTGATTATTAGCCACTGATAAAAACAAATACTAAATAGTTCCCACTCAGATGTTCCTAATAAAGGAATAAAGGAAAGTTGTAAAGAAAAATGCTTGATTATACATTCCTATCTACTGTAAAAAAAAATGGACTAAATCTTTGTATCTGCTAATTCTATGTTTATGTGTGTATATGTGTGCGTGCATGATATGAAAATATCACACTGGAATTTTTAAATTATTATATGCCATTGAGAAAATTCAAAGTGTACATCTTTTTGATGCATGCAATTCTGAGAGTTGGAGAGTTCTCAAATGATCCCCAATGTAGATAAAGGTAAAATTTTTGAACTCTGCTTTATTTTTTCCAATTTGAGGATTTTGTGAGATTTTAAAGGGTGAATTGTAAAGGCCGTAATCACCGCATCATTTAAAAATCTGGTGAAAATCACACATTATGGTGATTATTTGTTTTTTAAGGGACACAATACATTATATTTCTGCATTTTAGCCTTTAAGATCTAACCAAATCCCTAAAAAGATCTTGTGTCATATTCACCCTGGTGATTTCCTTGTTTCACATTCTTCTGTCTGCTGAACCAAATCAAATCCATTAAACGAGATTTAAAGAATTATCACTACTTGCTTTTTATCAGCAGAGGGAGATAAAACTCTGCAACTCAATAGAATTCTACGGTTATTAAATTGTTACTAAACAATGACACAATAAAATTTAAAAAATAATAAAATAGAAAAATGAAGAACAAAAAGGCTCCATTCTTCAAGTATAGCCACTGAAATGCTGTAGAGAGTTCAAGACAACTTTTGATCAAATAGACACTGTGCATTTTTGTTTTATAATGTGCATAGTTCCTTTGAAAATGCACATTTCATTGTTTGAATTAAGGAGTCATAGTCTCCATTAAATCTCTTCATAACAAATTAAACAATTAAAGATGCGAGATTAAAAAAAGAGAGAAATAAAGTAGAATAAAATTACTTCACAAATGTACATTGCCTATTATTTCTCCGTAACTTTCTAGCCTTGGAAAACACATTCATCTTCTACTGAATCCTTACATAGATTCATATATTGCTTTCAATTCTTTAAACTTCTAATCTCTTTCTTTCTTAGAATCTCATCAATTCTATCCAACCATGCTTATTTTGGAGTTCTCCTTCAACCAATTCATTCTTCCTTCACATATTTATTTAACCTATATAACCAAATTAATTCAATTTATTTCTTTCATGCTGGTCATGACATAATTTATAATCCAATGTAGGCCTTCATTTCATTGCACATATTCCTAAACTCCAAATCCATAATATCACACAATGTGCTTTTTTCTTTTATTTGTTGATTCACACATTTTAATAGATATCTCTCTTATATTCCAAGTTGAACATGACCTGCTGGAATCTTTAATCTATCATAAATTTGTTTAGTAAGAAAAAAGTGCAGACGTGGTTACCAGCTTTAATTGCAAATATGCCATGAGTAGCATCTTCTGTTAATAGTAAGGACAGGTTTTTTTCAGTTCATTTTGTCAACCTGCCATAAGTGCTGCTGAAGTTCAGTTTACCCTAAGCATGTTCATGCTATTACAGTATATGAGAGACAGATTTTCTAAATTAGAGATTGCAAGCTAGTACACTATTGCAAGTATTCAGAAGGTTGTAACAACTGTAATCATTGAATAAAGAAATAGAAAAATAATAATTTGTATAACTGACTTTACATCAGCTTTCCAATTAGCTCCTAGTTTAGCCCATACCAATTACACAGGATTACTATTTGTAGATACAAATCTTTTTTGCCTTGTTGCTTACATTGACAAAAAAATTCAAATTCAGATTACCAGACAGAAGACTGAAAGATATTTTTAAAATAAAATCGAACTTAGGCCCTCAATGTTTCATTATCCGTATGTCTGCCTATCCTATCTATCTTTCATATTTCTAATTCTCCCATCTCCCTCAAAGAGGAGCTCTGATTTTTTTTTTTGGGGGGGGGGGGGGGCTAGCAAGCCAGTAATTCATTCATATTGATAAGGATGGCAAACATATTGGCTTTGTTTTGAGAAAAGAGTACCAGCTGAGCAATTAAAATACTTACTCAAAACTTCTCCATTTAAGGGCAATTTATGCAACACACTTTCACAGGATTAATTCATTTATCCCTCTTTAAATGCAATACAGTGCATTTAAATTATGGCAAAGCTATATTAAATTTCAAAATATTTAGCAATAGAACATCATCCAATTTGGAAATGTAATACAGATAATCCTCAACTTAGAATCCCTCCCACTCCAAAGCTCCATGATCTCCCACTAATGGTTTTATTTAGATCATATAAGTAGTATAGGAGAAGAAATGGTATTCTGTAGAGCACCATGGGTGAATGACTTACAGAATATATTCAGCACTATTAAAAATAATAATCTAAATTTAATTTTACTACCCAAAGCATAGAGAAAAAAATAGGAAGATGTGTTTCTGCTACATTTTGGATATCTAAAACACCTGGAAATGTCTGGTACCTGGCTGATATTACATTTGATAACTTCTTGGCACTTTCCTAAATACAGTGAGATAAGTTACACCTACAGCTACAGTAAAAATAATATAAATGTATATGAATGAATTTAACAGTGGAATCCAGATTTTCCTCAATAGTGTGTAGATTTATTTAATTTTTTCTCTGATTTCTTTCAAGCATGCATATAATCATATGACAAATTAAATATACCCCATGTAAAAAAATTAATATGTGAACAAAACAATTGTTTGCATTCATTCAAACAATGTATAAAGACAAAGATGGTATTATTTAATGCTGACTTTGCAATCATTTATTCAACAAAAAGGTAATAACATATACCATTTCCTTCTGTGGAAAATATAAATACACCCTTTGTTCTAATATAGGTAGTTGTTGTTTAACAAACAGAACTAAGTTACGATGGACCCCCAAATAGTTACTTATGATCCATCCTTTAAGTTATGATTGCTGCACACAAATATGGTTTTTGGCAAAAAAAAACCAAAAAACCCACCACGCATTTGGGAGAATGGGTTCACTTAATAGCTATGTAATTCACTTAATAACTATATGATTTGCTTCAAAATGGTTGTAAAATCAGATCGCATGGTGATCTCCTTAGCAACTGCAAAATAGTTTGATCAAAATTCCAAGACTCAACAATGTGGCTTATCCATACCTGATATTGCCTCCTTTGGCAGAAACAACCTCAAATTGTTATTTCTTATAACTGTCACAGTGTCTGACATCCACTGCAATTTATTCCTACTCTTCCATGCAGGTTTTTTCACCTGTATGATGTTTGAAGGGTTTCAGCCCACTTCAAATTATCCCATAATGTCTTGATGGGATTTGCAGTAGATACAGACTTATCTAACAGAAAAATGTTCATCACGTCTGCTAAATATAGTGAAGCTTCAATTCTAGCCATATTTTGACATTCCTCAGCATAAATGATTTAATGATTGCAACAGCAATGGCTTCTTGGATTAAAGTTGAGGTATCAAATGTGATAAAACAATCTAACACATAATGTGACTATGATTCAAAGAGAAATATGTTGGCAATCAACTACTTATATTACCAAAAGCCAACATTAATCACTTCTAAGGTAACTATTTTTCACCAGGCCATCTATATGCTTTTCTGTAATGCCACTATCAAAAATGGTGGCAGCGAGGCTAATTGTGCCATGAATGTCTACCTTCTCACTTGATTTGATTTAAACTTCCAGCATATAAACAATAAAATTCCTAGTACATTACTTGAGCCACAATTACAACTGTGAAATAAAGAGGAACAATCTCTGAGGGAAAAAAATCCTTATCAGAAATAGCAGACCTGTATAACTTTTGAAACAGAACTAGATGACAAGAAAATAGGAACTCCCTATATCTGAATTATAGCAGTCATCTGCCCATTCATTCCAAAACATATATATAAAAGTAATACATTCAGAGATTATTGTAATTCCAAACTTCTCTCATTCTGTATTTGCCACTAAATGCTGCAGGTACCAGTAAAGCAGCCACATTATAATAGGCAGGGCCATAGCATTACATAAGAGCTCCATCAAAATAGACATGATCCCAAAGTTATTCCAGTAAAAAATGGTATTTCAAATCTTTGTTTCTTGATCTTTTCTTCCTTATACATTTTTTTTAAAAAAAACAGCATCAAGTTAAAATTAAAAATGCATCAAGTTCTCAAATTTATCAGCATCCCTGTTGTTTAAGTAAACTCTGGAATATTAAACCACAGAAAAATAAGGACATAAAAGTTCATATTTTGGGGAAAAGATAATGCTAATAACGCTAACAGAGGACATTCCGCATGTTGCCCTTTGGAGAAGATAAACTCAGCATAATTCCTGTTTGCTTATTGTTGAATAAACTGTTTATATGGAAGCTCCAGCTATTCATGCAACATAAAGATTTTCAAATATTTTGTGGTTCTTTAATAACGACATCTGTTCTGGAAACCTAAAGAATTAAAACTAAAATGAACAATAATAAAATGATAGCACGAAGGGCAGACCAACTAAAAAAGAAGTATTAAAACGTAAGTATTGGTCTAAAAGCTTATAACTGATTTCATCCACTAGATATGCTAATATACTGGGAAAGGTTCTCCTGATGTTACAGAATTACTATGAAACAAATGTGAATTCATTTAAATCCTTGTCAATGATTTGGAAATTCAAAGGACATTGTGCAGCACATATCTAAAATTAGTATTTTTCCACAAGTATGTAATAAAAAAACAGCAAAGGGAGAAGAGGGTCGGGCAGTTTCCTAATTTAAAGATCTAGTTTTCAACTAGGGAGTAATTTCACAACAGGATCCTTTTGTTTATTTCCCAGGATTGTATTTTTAGGAAGAATATAAAAATATTCATTTCATTTTATGACTGCTTTTTGCAGCAAAAAGAGTTTTGCATAATCAGTGTGATACTACTATTGTTACCAATTTCTAAAAAAAAGAAAACATTCCCAATTTTTTGATTCCCAGCAAAAGTACCACCAGTTAACATAAAATTAATTACATTTCTTAAGACTTAATTTTGGGAAAATACTAGAATTGCAGCTTTAGCAAAATAGCATTTACTGTATAGTTTATTTAATATTTTGTAAACATTTTTTTTTGCAATCTGCAAGTTGTCATTTTAAGTATGCCCTTTTTCAAACAAGTATTTTGTTTTTTAATCAAATTACATTATTTTTTAATCAAATTACATTATTTCAGTTAATCATAAGATAGCAGTATTGAATTCTAATACTTTGCAACAAGATGGAATAGAAAAGGATTGCAAAATGAGACATCGGCAATACTTAAATAAACTGTGATCAATCTAGTCATACATAAAAACTCTTTTCAAAAATCAAACTTGGGATATTACAGCAAAGGGAATCCAGCTAGCGTATACATCACAAACCCCAACCCAGAACAGAACATTCCTATCTGAGATGGGTATTTTTTTTTCTACCAAGCAGGCAATGGAATGGAAGGAATGCACCTAGAGCCGTGAGGGAAGAAGGACAACCATCTGGCCAGTCAGATCAGACAAATCAATCTTGGTGACTGAAGGCAAAACGGACATTCCAGCCAGATTGCCTTTACATCTACTACTGAAAGTATCAGTGCTTAAATTTAGCACTGCTTTCATATACATATATATATATATATATATATGTGCACAGAGAAGCCACAATTCTTTCTCACCTGATTAAAATATTAATAGGATTTTTACACTGTGAATGATAACTCAGCAATCATCAGAGATCACATGACACGTATTATGCTCTGGTACAAATTTAAATCGTCCAACATGAAACAGATTGTGGAAGTCATTTCTATGATAAATTGTAATTATGTTTTAATTAAAATAGGCTTGCTAAATTATTAAAGTACTAGTATTATGCCTTTTCTAGGTTTACAGTTTCCATATCCAAACACAAGTTCCAGTACAGAATTCAGAAATGTTGATCAATACAAAAAATAATAATCACAAGTGTCAGTATTGTAAAGAAGACCATAAACAATTAACAATGGCAACATTTAACACAAAAGTGTATTACAATAACAAAGTTTGAAATACTATTACTTGCAATTCTGGATATTGATGCTGAAAAGTGATTTATTAGAGTTCCATGCATAATTAAAACTTTAAAATAAATGCAAAAAGTTGACACATGGTATTTGATGGATTCTAACGTAACTAATTCAGTATCTTCTTTGATCAGTGACTTAAAAATAAATCCTAGATAATAATTTAACATAGGAAGTCTTGCAAAAGAGAGACCAGAAGCAATATGCTGTAAGAAACACACCTCAACAGTCTGAAATAAAGCCAAGACTAAGCAAGTTTAGGTTTATATGCATTCTAAGCCACAAATCTATGGAACAAACACTTTGATTGCACTAAGTTATGTAATGCCGGCATACCAAGTTCATTGTGCAAACTGCTGCTGCCGACAGCAGATGCATTGTCATGTGTTGCTTCTAACTGGACACTCCCATTTCTCACCAGCAAGGAGGTGCTAGCGCTGAGCACTGCTGCCTGGGAATGGGGGCGTGACTGGACTTTGGCTGTGGACTGCTGCCCTTGCTGAACATCTTGAAGGCTACGAAAGAACATGGATGGTGGAAACATTACAGGGAAGAACACAGAAACAGCAGCTAGAAACCAAGTTAACACTGTATTTTGTATTATGGTTAAAAGAGAACTGCAATACATTGAATTAGCCAATCTTTTATGAACAACACTGTTACAACATATCCAGGAAATTAAACAAACAAAAATTTAAATTAGCTGGATAACCATTCCAAGCAGTTTCTTCACTAACTTGGAATTATTACTTCAAAACATTTTCTGTTTCACATAGTTCTCTTCTAAGCAGTACTGGAAAGTGCAATTATATCATGATGTCCATGTCTAATGTAATATCATGGTAATTTTTTATAATGTAAGCTTTGCTTTTTTCTTTTTTTTTGCTAACAAACAGCAAACGTTACTCTTTCATGCAAGTTTAAAGTAAACTTTGAAAAGACTATAAGGAGTAAACGCAGTTGCTTTGCTCAACTCAATTTAAAAATAATGTACATCTGTTGCATTAAAAATCAATTTGTTTTATTTCAGTTCATTTTATTACCTATTTATATAGAAGAAAACAAATTATTACTACATGTCCATTTTCCCTTTTTTTCTACATTCCCCTCAAATGTGTTCTGTTTAAAGGTCAGTCCAGGATAAATTCAGAGGTGTACGTGGTGGTGAAGATAAAAACAAGAAAAAAATCTTGTTGTACAAATGAATAAATATGTACTACATAAAGCCCCGAGTTTTTCCAAATGCTGAATAAAATTGTGATATAGAAAAATTAGATGCACTGTGAAATAAAGCTATTCTGCATGCAGATATCTGATACCCTATGCTACCTGTAGTTCTAGTCTAATTTCAATTGTGACTTACAATCATAGTTTCGTAGCCTTGTTTTATTGCATGTAACAATAGCAATCTACCTTACAGTAACTATAACCACATTGAATAAGACTATGTACAGTCTTTACTATGTTCAGTATTACATGATTGCAATATTAGAACATTTACCATATTATGACTTCAAAACAGCAAGTTCCCAGGTTAAGAAGATCCCAGTATAAGGATAGCCCATAGTTAAGAACAGAGTCTATTGTGGCAAATTTGAAGTTAAATACATGGTGATTCAAGTTAAATATACAATGGTTCAAATTCATTATACAATATTATTTATTACATAATAATATTGTGCCAGCTTACATACAAATTTGACTTGGGAATAGAACTCGTTCTTGAACTGGGTCCTATCTGTATAGCACATTTTAAGAAGAAGGTAGAAATTATGTATGTTACAGCTGAATTGAATTCTACTGAATTAAATCACTCTTAAATCACTCTTTACTTCTTGGTAAATTAATAATGGATATACAGTATGTATTTATATATCCCTGAAAGAAGCAGTGTGGTATGAACCTTTCATAAAATTTACAATGCAATAATCACACTGTGGTGGAATTTATAAATTTGCACAGGTATTCATTTTGAAGAAATAATAAAACTTGATTTCTAAAATGAACACCAACAATTTCTAAATGTGCATGTTTAGAAATAACTGTTTATTTATTTATTCAATTTGTATTGATTTTCTACATAACTTTATAGGGCTGGCTCAGTCTTGCAGTCTGCATTTGTGCCCTGAAGTATTATTTTGTGTTCATTTATTTATATAATATGAATAAAATTGCAATTATTTGTACATGTTGTATTTCTACAATACACAGTATTATATATGTAAAAGAAATATTGAATTTTTAAAAACCATCAGATTAAAAATATTAATGCCAACAGAAAAAATATATAAAATATGACTAACAACAATATATTGATATAACCATAAATTAATGCTTAGTTTTTAATATTAGTTTCTTAAGGTCCTTGTGTAACTCCAGTCCTTATCCAAATAACATTTCAAATGAAAAAAATGTTCCAACAAAAAGGATTAAGTGTGATAAATTCACATTGCTTACAAAATTGAAGCAATTTCATGAGTGTAAGAGATCCATAAAAAAAAATTATACATATTTGTTTCATAGGTTTAATTACCCAACTAGTTACATCATTAGTGTTAGCAGTAGTGATGTTACCTAGCTGGGTAGTAAAAAGTCTGCAAGAAAATATCTAAGGTAAGAGATCACCAAGGACTCCATAATTCAACCCTGAGTTACATATAATGTCTTTTATTGATTTCTTTCATATTTTATATTCTTCTTGGTTCGTATACCTAATTATCTGACCAGTCTTTCTGCATTTTAGACTTCTAAACAATTAAATATTTCTCTGAAGAATTCTTTTACATTTTTTCTCTTTACAGAAGGAAATGAGACAGAGGATGCTTGGCTTCCTTTATGTGTTAACTGGTTCTTCCATAAAATTTGCATTTGGGAAAGGATCTGTTCCATGAAAATATTACAGGAGATTTTACATTAAAAATAATTATGAAAAAAATAGTTTTAATTTCAAAGCTGTCAACCAATAATACTATAGAACACATGCAATACATACTGTTAAATTTCATATGTTCAATATGTACAATTCCTAAAATTGTAGTATATCTACTATTAATCTAATCATTAGAAGAATCTTACTATCATATTTCAGTAAAATAAATTAATAACTGAACATCAAAAATATATTTTAAAGAACCATCTACAACTGAGTAACATATTGCATTCCAATCTTTTAGAACAGATAGCCATATTTTTAGAACAATAATTTATTTTTTTAAATGCCTTGAATCTCTACTTGTTGCCTTATCCCATATTCATAAAACTTGGGTCAGCATCAGAAAAAAGGTTTTAAACATCCTAATCAAGATAAGAGTGTACTTTGTTTACTGTAAACAGCTTGTGTCAGAAACAGATGTGATTTAGAGCGTATGACGCATATAGAATTGAATTATTTAGTGCTTTTGTTTAAAATATTTTACATTTTAAAATATTATACAACATTAATTATTATTAACATATTAACACATACAAACACAAGACTGGAGAAGTTATTTAATATTTGTGTATATTTGATCATTATCATTTTCCAAACTTTAGAAAAAATGTATATGTGCATTTATTTACATTGGGGGGATTAAATACAAATTTTATAGTCTAGTGTAACATCAAGCTTAAAAAAATACATTTCACATAAAACTAAAATTGATCAAAATGAAATAACTCTTATAGAAATGAAGATGGCTAGTCTCTGGGAAATTTTCCTGCTACTTAGTCATGGCCTTTAATCTGTTTTTTGTGCCATTAGTTAGCAGAAGCCTTCAGGAATTATTGTACAGTTTTAATAAATATCATTTACTCTCCAGCCTTTGAAATTCCATTCTGTTGCACAAAAATTACAAATTAATAAATCACCTATTCTACAAGTTTCAGCCATGAACTTTATTATTCAACAAAATATGAAAAATTATAATGGATAGAAAATCCTGTTGAAGAATACTTCCGAAGTATCATGTAGCTGTGCATTTTCAATGGACATGAAAAGAAATATCACCATGCAACATGCAAGCCAGCAAGAACAATGTTAGTTTCCATGGTCCAGAAAAAACATTGTTATTCGATGGTTTAGCAGTAGCCACAATTCTTTTTTCCCTATTTTCAACATAAATAAGCTGGGCTTTGGATGCCACACAAAAACTAACGCTGAACTCTAGATATTTTAAACTTCATCAAGTTAGAGCTGGGAATTTTTTATTTGAACCTGTTACTGCCAGTTAATGCACAGTATTTGGCTTGGTAGACAAATGCTATGCTTTAGATTAATTCAGCTTCCCACATATCTGGTTCTTTATTTCTGGGTTGTCTGTAATTAAGAGAAAAAATAACAAAGCCTAGCTATCTCAAATAGATACAACATAATTCATAAACAAGTTTAATTTTAACAAAAATTTAAAGAACATTACAATTGTATGGAAAACAAGCTAGAACAAGCTCAGACAATTTTTTCCCAAGTTGATAAAATATTTAGGAGCCCACCTAAATTTAAGTTGTAGTTATCTATACTGTCGATTAAGCCAGGAATCCAAATTTGCCTCAAGAACTGTGCAGGAGATCACATGATACCCCTTCCCAAATCCCATTTCCTGAGCCAAATCCTGAGCCAAGCAGTCTTTTTCTGCTTCTGTGCAGGGAAAGAAATAATCCTTCCCTATTCTTAGAAATGATTAACTTTTGAGTGCTGAACTTCCATTGGCTAGATAATGCCTGTAGGAGTCATTTTATGTTATAGATAATATTGTTCCAAACTCCTACATTTTACAGCTGAATTTAAATTTTTTGATAAGATAAAAAGGAAAAAATAGATATATATTCAAGTGAAAGACCAACTACATATTGAATTTGGAAGTTCATTAGTTTATTATTGAGAAATATTCTAACGAAGTTTGGAATGTTTAAAAAATGCTTCAATAAATAGTTACAGTGAGAAGACAGGTTGCATGATTTTTGTTCCTGTTGCTTACTTCAATTTAATGCATGTGATCCACTGACTTTTCCCTACTTTAAAGTAATGAGGATATTTGAAAAAAACCATTACTACTACTCAATACTTAAATATGACCTAATTCTTATGTTCCTAAAAGTCTTCTTTTAGAGAAAGAAGCCTTGTCACGACAATAAGAAATAGGCAAGAAATAGATAACAAGAATTATCAGCAAGTGAGATATTTCTTGTTAAAAGAACAGCATAACTTTAAACGAGTTCTAAATTAAAATTAGCAATAACAGAGAGTGAAAACTGGAACATTAATCATGATCCATCCAACTGTGGTCTAAAAGATATCGAATCTGTATCAAACATGTGCCTCTATCATATTAACAAAGCTCAATAGACTGCTTTTGCGATGGAATAGACCACCACTGAAAATGTTATTCACATAAAGGGATTCCCATTTAAAATTATGAGTCTATATGAAGCAGTAGAAATTGACGTTAGGGATTCCAAAAAACTCACTGGAACTATATTTATGTAGGCTGCAGTAAAAGAATCTTGAATGGCTGAATTCTCTCCTCCTTTCCCCCTATTTATCCTATATAAACTAGCAGGGAGTCAGTCTGGGCTCCTTTCTTACGCTTTTGCTTATGCTTCGGGCTTAGACTTTTACAGTTCGAAGTTACAATGGCAATGAAAAAAGGGACTTATAACCATTTTTCACACACTGTTGTCCCATCCATATGGTCACATGATTTACATTTGGATGCTTGACAATTAGTTCATCTCTATGACAGTTACAGTATCTGGGATCATGTGATCACCCTTTGTGACCTTCTGACAAGCAAAATCAATGGGGAAACCAGATTCACTTAATGACTGTATTACTAATTTAACAACTGCAGTGATTCACCTAACAATTGTGGCAAGCAAAATCATAAAATGGGGCAAAACTCACTTAATAAATTTCTCACTTAGCAACATAAATTCTGGGCTCAATTGTGGTCAAGGACTTACTTGCACCATGATGTATATATCCAAAGAGTTCTGGTATTAAGATTATATAGTTGAAAGGAGGACACAGTGGTATAATTTTATTCCATTTACACACAAAGCAGCATGGCAAATAGGGCTAGTTCTATACTCTTTAGAATAAAAAAATTTAATATATTTACTTTCATTTTAATTTTAACAGTACTAATTGTACCCAGAACATTTTATTTGATTGCTATCCATTAATAAGAGTTCTCTGCACAATCAGTTAAACATTTATTCTTTTCTTCCTTTTTAGCACATTGGAGGTCGAGGTTAAGCATTATAACACTAATACATAAAAATACAAAATATGTTCCTAATATTGACAAAAATAAATTTGAAATCCTTCATCAATATTTATTTAATTATCTGTGACTTCATGCACTTTGGATTGCTTTCAAGACAGTTCTGAATAATCAGGATTAAATGACAAATTTAGAAGCTGATAAGTTTGTTGTTCTTTTCTCTACTTGCATATAAGAAATTACTCCAATGTTATTAATTATTAAGGATTTAGTCTTAAAGGAGGAAATTTATCAATATTTTTCAGCTAATGACTATTAGTCAACATACAGATCATCTGTAGAACATGAAATTTATTCAGATTATTGAGGGATATGCAAAATATATTTGCATATTCACCTTACACTGTGAAATGACAAGATTTCTTATTTTATGCACAATTGTGTGTTTATTTTTTTATTTAGGATTGTATTATATAGTTCTGTTCTAAAACATTTCGTGCACTCTTATATTTATACTAGTATTGTATGTTATTGGTTTTATTTCAGTGTCTTTAATTAAAGTATCATAACTGCTTTTTAATGAGACCACTGATGTATTTCATCAGATTCTCAAGTGCAGAGGAAAAACGGTGATGGCATGGAACCTCCTTTTGGCATGGGAGCCATATGTAGAATTCTTAGTGTTCTCTAAACTTGGTTGTTCGCTTGCAATGCTTTTTTCTGCTTGATTGTGTGTCCGGTTAATCCCTGCTTATCTGGATGTTGGTTGATGTTCTGATCTTTTTGTTTTATTTTTTTTTAGTGTCTCTTTTGAACAGTGTGTAAATGTAGTTTATTTCTATGTTCTATTGATGGCAGATTTATCTGAATGCCAAAGTTTCTAGGAATTCCCTAGCATTATTTGATTTAGCTTGGTCTGGGAGGCTCACAGTTTACCAGCTGAAAGTGTATTTGAGTCTGTCCATGTGTGTGAGACTAAGGAGTTTTATTGTGTTTTCTTATTGTTAGTTGGTGTTCATGGATGTGCCCAGCTAGTCTTCTACCTGTCTGACCTCCATAACGGTTGTTATCATCTTTGCACTGTATGTTGTAGATAGATCCTACTTTTTCTTCTTGGACTACTGGGTCTTTTGGTTTAGAATGATTTGGAGAACTTTTGTAGGTGTGTTATGGTGATGCCATGTGATTGCAATAATCTGTTTGGTTGTTTCTGAGATTTTTTTGATGCATTGCAGTGTTACCCTTTCATCACTTGTGTAGATTGTGCTGCAATGGGTCAAGTAATCATGGACTTTTGTTAAAGTTGAAAAAGTATATATTTCACAGGATGAAGTTATATGGGTTTCCTTTTTCTGGAGTTGTCTATTGCTGCAGTGTGTTTATATTCATCTGAATAATGCTTACCCAGCTCCTATTGAGGGATTTGGGATTCTTACTTCGTTAATTATTAGTGTGGGTTCTTTTTCAATAGAATTGTGTTTCTAATTTGCCATTATTTCCTCTGCTGATGACAATATCCATGCTAATGTGTTTTCTTCTTCCTTTGTGAATTTTATTCCTTTGAAGATGCTGCTGATTATTTCATGTATCTTCTCTAGTTGTTCCTTTTTTATTATGACAAAGATACCGGATCCACACTTTTGGTTGTACATGTGGGAGTGCTAGTTTTTAGATACTATATTATAGTCTCTGCTATAAAACCTGAAAGTGGTGGATTCTTTTGCTAGTTCTAGATCTACACAATATCACTATAGCACACAAACCAATTAAAGCCCCCCCCAAATCTTAAGTAAACCAAAAGACCCATTAGCCTAAGACATTAGCCCAAAGACTCCAAAAACAGGAACCATCTACAACAAGGACTATAACAAGGACAGACAGGCAGAAGACTAGGAGAATGAACCAACTAGCAATCAGAATACAAGATGAAAACTTAATCTCATAATTACACTAACAGACAGAATTAATCATTTTTTCAACACCAAGTCAAATTCAACAACACTGGGAAATTCCTTGAAAGTTGGCATTCAGACAAATCAGCTATCAATAGACACATAGACACAAAATACATTTACATACCATTCAAGAAAGACAAAAAAAAGCTAAGAAGGAAAAAAATAGATCAAACATAGTCTTTGTAGCAAAAACACCAGATAAGCAGAAATTAACATCTGAAAAACAATTAAGCAGAAACCAATGCCCTAATCAAGAAACTACCAAGGAGAAAACCACACTCCTATCAGACTGGCAGGGAAGCTACTATATATAAACAGGGGCAAACTCCACATTCACTAATACTGAAGATGCTACTTAGTCAGGTAATGAAATCTCTTCAAACAAACAACCAAACTCAGAGAGCACCAAGGACACCATCATTCAACCTTGAGATACATATTATATGTAATGTCTTCCCAAAGCATTATGTATAGTTAACCCTACCCTTTCCTTAGATGCCTCTAATTTTCTGTAACTGATTAAAATTAAATTTGATAGACAAAGTGGGAAAGTACAAATAAGCAAATAAACTTACAGCCAGAAGTTGATGAAGTGTAATTTTTTTAACACTGTTGGATATGTCAGTGTTCTGTTTTGATCATGCCCAATTCCCCCTTGTTCCAATTACATAATCTACAAGTTTTGTCATGCAGTTCTCAATCTCCCCAAATTTTATGTTTATGTTGTACAAGAATAGAAAGAACAGCTGAATTTTCCTGATTCCCCCATTTCATTGCTATCCTATCACACAATGTTCCAAAGACCACTCAATTTTCAGGAATAACCTAAAGGGGATGTCCAGAAGTAACTGTTAAGTGAGGAATGCTCTGGTTATCTATTGGCATCTGATCTAACAAACTGGTTTCCAAGTTGAAAAATAGATGTATTTATAAATATCTGAAGCACCTCAAGTGATGTTTTAGAATGTGGATATTTTTCCAACACTGCACCAGTAATTTTTTTTCTCTTGACACTTGCCTTTTATGTGTATTCAGTAGCATATACAAGAGAAAATCTGTGACAACTCTGAGATATACAAATATTGAAGTTATAGCAGTGCTTCACAATCAGAACTAATACTTATTTCAGATTTTACAATAGAAAATATTTTTATGAGATCTGTACTACAATTGTTTTATTATTATTTAATTGCTTATTAAATATAATAGCTAACTGATTTTAAAGCAGAAATATGGATTTAAGATTTTTAAAATCTGATATAGGTTATATTTAAAGGTTAGATGGAGCTCGATATATTAATAATGTCTCCAAAAATATTAGACTACTTTAATATATTTTGGTTTTTCTGCATTGATTTAATCACCGTAACAGCTCATGAATTATTTAAAGTAATTTCTACATTTAATATTTGTAAAAAAATGCATTGGGAAAAAAACAGAAACTTAAATGAAAGAGCTATTTTTAAATCAGTTTGTTAGCACTCTGGCTGTCTTAGATGACTTTCAGTGGACTAATCATTTTGAAAAGATGGACAAAATAATGAACAACCTAATGTACACATGCACAATTGAAAAAGTATCACAAATGCATGCAGTAACAGCTTAAGGAGTTTGATTGGTGGGGTAAGGAGAAAAGGCAGAACAAAGCATGCCTACAACACCGTTGGAAGTTGGGAGCAGTGATCAGCTGCATGCATGTTAGATACGGTGGAACACAAATACCATACCTGAGGGGAGAGCCGATGAGCAATGAAGGAGGGGTAGGGTTACTCCCTGCATTGTGACGGCGCCGTACTGCCTGACGCCTAAATGTGCTGCGTTCACGCCGAACTGTGACTGCTTCCTCATTGGCTTGTGCTGCTGCATCAAGACAGACCAAGTCAAATTGAACCTCAGACCAATAATGTTTATACCATCCAATGCTATTCCCACAAATTGTTCTTTCTCCTGCAAATCAGTTGATCAGTTTAGTTCACTGCCAAATAAAAACTATGAGTATGTAATGGTCAACTTAACAAGTATCCAGCTAAGATTTTCTTATTTCAAACAGAGTGTTTAAGTCAATTTAAAAAATAATAATTTGATTCCACAAAATCAATAGTTGTAAACACAATAATTGTAGTTTGTTTTTGTTATGTGCCATCAAATCATTTTCAAATAATTTCTAGCAACCACACAGAATGACTTTTTTCCAGGACATTCTATCCCTAACCTGTTCTTTCAAGTTTCCCAAATATTTCAGAACTGTTTTCTAGCAACAAATTAGCAAGCATGCCTGTCCTGGAAATATATGGCATATATTTGGAATGTGTATTTCAAATAATCAATTTAAACATTGTACAGTGAATCTTAAAATATCTTCTTTGAGGATAAGAGACTTGTAGAAACCCCATGAAGATCCTTGGGGAGGAGTGAAGAATAGGAAGTTCCAGTAACTGGGTTTTAAAATGTTGTTGTTGGATGTTTCTGAAAATAGCTTTCTTGCCTTCCTTGGAACCAGAGCTATCTGACTTCTGTTATCTGATTCTGACAGATTTAGAAGAAGAGGGGAAATCACACTTTTTAGAATGTAATTATACTGAAATAGCTGTATATAATTTGGTTTTAGAATTTACCTGCCTTCTCAAACACATTTTAACAATAGCAATAGTACTTATATTCCACTTTTAACAGCATTTACAGCTGTATAAACTGAAATAAATAAAACATTACTTTTGAAACCCCTACTGAATTCTACGTTGAAAGAAGTGACATTCAGAAGCAAAGGCTACTCTCATCAGACCAATGCAATTTCTTTACTGAAGGCTATGCCCAATCATGAGAGGCGAAGAATAAAAATACAAAATTAGTTCAATTGTTACCAAGTCAAATCTTCCAATTTAGATACTACTGAGTACTACATATATCTACATTTTAGAATTCTGTTTTATTATTCTGTTTTTCTGCAACAGCTCAAGGCAATGTACACACCTTATTTTCACCACTACACCAATTTTATCCTCAAAACTAAAACAAAAATAGATTAGGCCATGAAGAATTGAACTGGGTCACCTCCAATCACAGTCCAATATTTTAATCATGATATCTTAATGGCTTTCAGTGGTGGAGAGCACAAGTCTCCAAGGGTGTTGATTAGCTTGGAGAAATGGGATCTGAGGCTTGTTCTGCTTACACTGAATTTTTAGACACTGCCTACATTCATAAAAAATGAAAAACACAGCTTGATTTAGACAGAATGGCATTCAATAGTTTGTTGAACAAGCCATTGCACCTTGGGATACATGGTTAACTATGAATTTGTCATCACTCTAAGCCATACATAAACATCTCCTACAAGCAATTAGTGTCGCTTCTTAGAAATCATGTTCCATGCTTCATAAAATAGATATGTCATCTAAAGACTTCACTTCTGACTAAGCCAAAACTATGTACTGTACGCCCAAGTTTGCAGAAGTTTAGTGTAGAACTAAACATAAGCTACCAGAAGGAATTAATTGTTTTGTGAAACAGAAGGGTTGTTTGCAGGCAATATCCCACAAATAAAAAGAGCTACTGACACTACACTTTGTATTTTGGAAAACAAAAACAACAGGAATAAAAAAAAACAGAGAACTATCGAAATTGTCCTAAATTATGCAAGTATGACAGTGGTACAGTAGTTCCAACGCCCCTCCCAATCCTAATCATCAACTACTAGACAGGAATTGCCACTAATGTTCAGCATTTACAGTTTATCTAGGCATAAGAGGCAACATCCATGTTAAAACGTTTTAAATAGAACAAATGTGAAAATGTATCCAGATAATACCTTGAGGCACACACTCATTATGCTACTATATTCTTCTCATACCTTTGGACAGAAAACATGTAATGGATAGGTTTGAATCTTCTTTTAGATAAGAGTATGTGTTCTCAAAATAGATAATCACATTTTATTGTCAAACGTGTGTGTGTGTGTGTGTGTGTACATATATATATCACTCTCACATAACAATTTTACGTCTTCTCAAAATACATGACCTAACAATTATATCATATTTAATTCCTGGTTTTTTTTTCAATTATATTCATGAATCTTAACTAAATCTTATATTTTAAAATTCAAACAGGTGAATTTTTTTTCCAGATTTAAGTAAATTGTACATGAAGGCCCTTTGTTGAATTATTTTCCAGTCTTAATATTTTTTTCAAAAGAAATAGCAATCTGATATTAATGAGAAGCTGTTGTTTTAAAATAACCATGGAGGGGGACAGATATAAAGAAGTAAAAGAGAAAATTATAAATTTTAAAAGCTGAATTCCAAGATATCAAAAAACATTACTGGCAAAGCATCTTCTCATTAAGTATTGCACAAGTAACATACAAGGTACAAAGAAAAAAAGCCTATTTAAAAAAGCAACTTTAGTTGGTTTTATTTGTTCCAATGTTGAGCATAAACTAAACTGGCACCGTATCCAGAAATCATTTTTTTCACAGCCAAGGAAAGAATGAATTTCATAATGCTACATTATTTTAAAATAGTTCTCTCTTACATTGTTTCTTATATACCTTATATTTGCTTCTCTTCTTCAGTCCATGAACACACTCATTTTGACATTTTTTCCAGCCCTTCAATTTAAATATACCAACAAGTTGACATCTACATTGCAAATAGAACCAAGAACAACATTTACAATTTGGAAAGTAATGAAGAACATGGAAGTTCCATTACAAGTGGAGCAAGTATTGGAAACAATGTAACTAAGCCTTGCAAATAAACCCAGAGTAGTTATTATATGCAAAAAATATTGCTAAAGCTGACAGGATAGTAGGAGATTTGAATTTCTACCCTAAGTACTACAGGGAAATAAAATCTGAATCTCTTTTCTTCTGAGAATACCGCTGCACATACTTCTCTTATTCAACCTCCTACAACGTTTCACATTTCTAACTCAGCTCCAGCAAGTTATAAAAGAACATAAAGTAACTCTTGTATTTTACATCTTGATCTAAATTTAAACTGCAGTAATTAATTCCTAAAGTGTGCTTGCATGAAGTATGAATGACAGATTGTTTATATAAAATAAGCCAATATAGCCATTACTTTACAGTTCTTTATAGACAGAGGACCAGTTCTTTACAGACAGAGGATAAATTACAATATTTACCCAAAAGGAAAATTATTTTGAATTTAAGATGATTGAAACTTCTCTTAGAATGACAGAAAAAAATCAGTTGACTTGGTTGCCATATTTCCAGTGAACATATATTATTTTATAGTAAAAATAAATGAGGGTGGGGCAACACAATTCTTTCTATCATATAAATATCAATGTTTGTATTATAATGAATTATTTCCAACTGTTATCATAAAAACTACACCACAAAATTCTAAACTATGCATTGGATCTTACTTATATCCCCAGGCCAGTTCTGGAACCTTTGCAGGTTTACAGGTTTATTATGAAACCTCACCATTGAGAATCCTATAACTGTTAATATTTGCAAAAATGTGCATTACAACTTTCTTCACTTCTGAAAGTAGAATTATTGACTGCACTCCACTCATAAGAAAGTTTAGTATGGTTAACCATAAATAATGAATTATTAGTCAGCTATTATGCTAGTGAATAACATCAACACTGGATGAGAAAAGCTTTCTTTCTCAGAATGTATATCAAGGGAAACTGAAGTAAACTTAATACTGTGCCAGTATTAATCATGACTATCACAATCTGATGAGTTCATGTATATCACAAATCTCATGAGAACACAGAGATTTCATCTCCCAGCTATTTCAGTTTTAAAACAACCTAGATCTGGTTAGTGTGTTTGTTAACAATAATTAGCTCAAGTTACACTTGACAAGCCTTCATTGACTCATGATGGAAAAAGCCACACAAAACAGCACAGTATTCTCCATAACTCATCCTGGCCTGTTACATTTGGATTCAATCAGCGAAAAAGTGGAAATTGGAGGAACAAATTGAAGTTGATATTTTATTAATTAGAGGAACACAGAAACAATTTAACTGGAGTAGTACTCTTAATAATTAAGATATGAGAAGAAAACAAATATATAATAAATGCAGAAAAATGCTACTTTAAGTTCAGCCTCTTTACATTATCAATTCTGATAATTGCTAGAATAACAATTTCTTAGTTCTGAAAAGGCTTAGAAAGCACTGCATTCCAGCATGATATAATAAAATTGATCTGCAGTTGTTTCTTAAAAATGAACAGGTACATTTTATTTTATTTTATTTTATTTTTAATTATGCTAAGGACTAACAAACAAGTCTGGGACACTATTATTATGATTATCTACAAAGAAAACAATGTTAATTTTTTAAGTAATGTAAAGACTTGGGAATCACACTACAACTAATCAAACTGTTTTGCAAAGGCTGTTAATATTTCTATTTGCTATATCTCTTTATGATAAAATAAAAATGAAAAATAAGCCTTTCTGCATCACTGATTGTGATAATGCAAATTTATACTTATATTTTGTTGAATTATTATAAATATTTCATAGTGATTGCCTTCCCATTTAACTGCAAATACTTTAAAAATGAACCATCAACTATTCTGGTAAACAAAGTGGGATAAAATTCAAATATATAAGAAGTCTCTCACACACACATATATACACACACACCAATATACATATACATACAGTATATATAAACATGTTATGCTAATTAAACTCAAACAGCCAGTCAATATAAGTTATCAGAAACCCTCTCCCTTGGGATTTCTGTTAACAGCTATATTAATTAGTCAAGTTATACCAATAGAAGAGCAATTATATTGTTTATAATATATTACAGTTATAATGTATAAGCTATAGTTAGTTATAATTTATATTCACTGGCACTATTTATTCTTAAAAATATATAAGATACTAGTGAGGAAATGCTTACAAACCAGAACCATCAATTGGAAATGCTTTTCTTTCTGCCACAACTGCTTTAAGTTGTGTTTTGATCATTGGCAAATTTATATGAAAGTTCAGGTTTATACAAAACATAATTATTTTGCAAGAATTTCTAAGCTGGAAAGTGCTAGTATGCTTATGATATGTTGCTACTACAGATAGTCCTCAACTTACGACAATAATCCAGCCCAAAAGTTATGTTGCTAAGTGAAAGATTTTTTAAGTGAATTTTGCCCCATTTTACAATTTTTCTTGCCACATTTGTTAAGTGAATCACCGCAATTGTTAAATTAGTAACACAGTTGTTAAGTGAACCTGGTTTCCCCATTGACTTTGCTTGTCAGAAGGTTGCAAAAGGTGATCAGGTGATCCAGGAACACTGCAACCGTCATAAATGTGAGTCAGCTGTCAAGCATCCAAATATAAATCACATGGCCATGGGAATGCTGCAATGATCTTAAATATGAAAAATGGTCATAAGTCACTTTTTTCAGTGCCATTGTAACTTTGAATGGTCACTAAGCAAGCTGTTGTAAGTTGAGGACTACCTGAACTAATAGACTTCAACTTTGTTGATTGTTAAGTATTTTTAAAAGTGAGCTAAAGTAGAACTTGAACAGATCTACAAAGCTAACTACCCTTAATGTGCTTAAAGAATCAAATAACAGCCATTTTAGGAAAAATAAAATCTCCTTGATCTTCAGAAGCATTGGCCAATATACTGAGAGGGCAAAGAGTTGGTTTCATTGTCCTTAAGAAACAAACATGGATCTGAAATCTACTGCAAACATAATATATATTTGAAAGTGCTTTAGAAGAAATCAATATATTTAATACTTGCACTACTTCAGCATTAAAATATATATTGCAACCATGTTCCACTGGAATATTTGGTGATCATGAAAGCAATATAGGAACTGTTATATTGAAGAAACCACATACATATCAAGAGCTAACTTATGGGACTCACAAAAAGGCCAGATGGTACCACACTACAAAAGAAAAGATATCTGGTTTGTTCAATCATGACAATAGCACAAAAAGATGCAAGAGAAAAACATATTGCACATATTTAAGAGCTTTAAGTAGTAGAATGGAAGTATGTTCAACTTTACCTCATTATTACAGATGAAACATGATAAAAGTAAGTATTTTATTAGACGACAAATACAAAGCATCATATATTTGGGTATCAATATGCCTACAGATACCTCACTGGGCACCTGTCAGATTACCTATCCTGCCTGGCTTTTTAAAATAGATGTTTTTGGTACTACTAGGCTGTAATTGGCTTGCACTCATTTTCCATAATCACAGCAATTCTTAGAAAATTAATACAATTAATAGCTTTAACTAATTTTTTATTTGGAAGTGTGCTCATTAGATCAGAAAATAAATGACAACCTCAGGTAGTAGTGATTATATTCTTTGATAGCCAGGAACAACTTCACCAGTTTGTCTTTTGACAAATGGGTATTTGTGGTAAGGCCTGCCAAGACATCCATTTTGTAAAAGCGCCAATACGTTTTCAACATTCCAATGTGTCCAATTGACCTCAATAATTCTGTACAGTTTGTATTTGTTCAACCTGTTCATGTTGAGAGATCCAATATTAGCAATAGTAATGCTGCAATATTTATTATTTAATGCTAATTGAACTCAGAATAGCATTAGCATAAAATCTCAAAATGTAAAACATCCAAAATATAGATGATCACACTAATAGGCAGTGCTACATCTAAGTATTCCAGTTACTTACCAATGCTTCCCTTCTCCTGATCTTCTCTTTCAGTAAACATAGGCTGGTTTGGTAAGCTATTTCTAGAGCGCATGACTGATTCTAGCTGTGAAGCCCTTCCCAACAGAGATAGCTCATCAAGCACCTCTCCCTCTTTGGCCTCTAAGTCAGATTTAGAAGTTGTTAGTTGTTTTATTGTATCTGGCATCATTAGATTTGGATCATTCAAACAGGCTACTGCACCACTATCCAAGCTTAATACCCTGGTACGACTCTTGGCACTGTTTGTACTGTGAGTCTGTCGGGTTGAATGCTTTTTGACAATCACATCAGTGCCCAAGTGAATTTTGTAAGAATTTTCCAAGTCTGCGCCCCTCTCTTTGGCAATATATTTTGTCTTTAGGGCATTGAATTTTCCTTCAGGAGACTGGCATGAATGAGAAGTTGTGCTGGAAGAGCTATCACTGCTGAACTGGTGGGCTGACTGCATACTTGAAGTTCGGCTCAAATCACTTTGATCACTTGAGTCTTCATCATGGCAAAAACCTGCACTGTGGGGCTTGGTAGCAGACACCCCTCGGAAGGAAATATACTCTTTGTGTCGACTTGTGTCAAAACTACTCGCCCGTTTTTTCCCTGTCCTTCTCCTGCTGGATTTTTGAGCTGAAGCTGTCCGATGAATTAAGCTACATGATTTAGGACGCACATCCCCCTCCTTCTGCTTTTCCACCATTTCCTTACAAGTTCTTAAGTCAACCACGGAAGATTTCTCTTGATGTTCATCTCTTTTCACAGTAGGGTTTCCGGGAGACTGTTCTGCTTGTGTGGTTAGTTCATTAGCATGAGGATTCTTATTTGCTTCTTCTGAAGCAGAGGTACTAAGGGCCCTCTGATTGTGCATCTCCTCTGATGCATTCAGGCATTCTTCTACTTGAATGCAACTGCTGGTGTTAGTTTCAACTATAGTTCTTTCCTTGCTTGTCCTTTTGTTAGTAGCAATGTGAGAGTCCTCAGAATCAACAGCATAGTCTTTTTTCTTGCTGCTTTTTTTCTCTTCTTTAGGTGACACCTCATGGTCCGACAACATGCTTTCTATATGAGTAGAACTTGTCTGCTCACTTTTATAGCTGCTGACAGTACTGATGGTGTCACGGTCAGTCCCACTACAATAACTCTCTGTTGAGCCACTACTTCTTGTACTCAGGCTTCTCAGGCTATCCACACTTTTATCTGCTTGTAGAGATTTACTCTTGCTGCTGTTGAGCAGCATCTGCGGATTGCTACATTTTAGAATGTCATCCAGTTGAAATACACCAGAAATACATGAGTTCTCAGCTAATGATTCTTTGGATCCGGTCTGAGGCTTGCAAGCTTCTAATTCACTGACAGTATCCAGACCCCGCCTTTGTTGAGAGAGAGGAAAGTCATTTAATGATACATCTGGAAATGCAACAGCTGAACTGGAAGTCCTCGGCACACCTCGTGGTCTATGATCTTTCCTGTAGGAGTGTGAATGCAAAGGGACAAGAGAAGCCATTTCAGTGTCACATGCATTTGACACAGAAGGATCTGCATGCTGATTAGGAAGGCACACTTTATCAGTACTGTCTCTTGATAACTCCTGTGCAGTTGACAATGAGGGCTGAATGGATACAAAGGAATCAACGGAGACTAGATGAAAAGTCTTCTGATCAGCTGTCAAATCTGTTTTTTGTAAAAATGAAACAAAATTAGGAATTTTGCATATTACTCTCACTGCTATAAAGTATCTTTTATTCTAGATTTCTTTTTCAGCTAACGTGTGAATACAGAATCTGCTCTAACAAATATGACTAAAATCCACAATCCTTATCATTTTCCTAGTTATTCATCATTCAGCAAATCTATGTATGAGAATATCACAGTCTACCAAAACCCTAAACAATGATAATCAAGACAGCTATTATATGGAATTAATGCAAGGACCAAAAAGAGGTAGAATAAGTATTTTACAGTGTATAGGTAGTTCTTAGCTTACAACCATTGATTCAGTGACCATTCTAAATTGCAGCGGCTGATTGAAGGGATTTGTGACCAGTCTCCAGGTTACAGCTGTTGTAGCATCCCTGTGGTCACATGATCAAATTTTGGGTGCTTGGGGGCCTGCCTGCAATGATAACCACAAAAATATTGCAAGTCCCCCCAACCACCTATCTTTCTCCATCTATGCCCTTCCTACAGCCACAGAGTCATGATGAACGAAGATGCCCTGAGCCATAGTGCCCAGCTTGCTGGGCAGCGGTCAAAAGGGCAGAGATGGGGGTCATAGGTGTATGAGGGAAATTGAAAATGCAGTCCCTTACTTATCAAGAGCAGGAGCTGGAAAAACAACAGGAGCTTACCCCGTCATTTGGCACTCAGGTCTCGAACCTGGGCTGTCAGCTTTCCAGCTGACAAGCTCAGCATCTTTAACCACCGAGCCAACATGCTCCCATAGTTAAGTAATAAAATAATGTGAATAAAAAAATATTGTAAGCAATCAGTCTTGATAATTACAATAAGTTAACTTTTTGATGAAGTCCAGAAAACAAAAATAAGTCATTAATATTGCATGAATATTATGCTAAGTGCATTAGCTCACTTGACTGCAGATCTGGAAGCATGCAAAATATAACATATGGATATGTGTGAAAATCACTTCATCTAGTTTGCTGTAGAAAAGTCTTTTTTTTTTAAAAAAAAAGAGTGTTTAATTCTAACTCTCTGCAAGCTTCTTTCATTAAGATTCATATCACTAGCATATGAATCCACAGAGAAAAATACTTATGACACATCTAACACCCTCTGAGGTTTGCTAGAAAAAAATTAAACGACTTTAGAATAGCAAAATACTTCAGATGTAATCACCATAACTTTGGGCTTGATTATATAACAGATAAAATGATCAGTTAATACAGCAAGCTACAGTTAAATGACTATTATTTTGCAAACACAAAATTAAGACAGTTATTATTTGTTTTAGTAAAAAAGCATTCATGGATATAACATAGGTTGAACAAGACATACATACCTTGCTCTTCGCTCCCTTCTTTACAAAGACTAGAACTCTGACCAAGACTCAGACTGATATCATCAGAAGTCTTTGCAGTGTCTGTATCACCTAAGTAGTGAAAATAATGTGTTAGCTCAGAAAGCACCACCCTATATCCCTAAAAGAAAACAGAATTTAAGAAGTGTTTTTAATTCTCTACATATAGTTATAATGATCTGAATTATATCCTCTAATCTGTTAGTGCATTACATCAGCAGGGACACTGCATATTCCTGTTGTATTGATGTAGGACTGTGACAGCACAACTAAGAAAACCAAAAGATAATATGGCATCTCCACCATATTATCACATCATGGAAGACTAAGAGAGAATTTGCTAGTGTTACATCCACTATTCAAGAAACTGCAGAAATTAACAACAGGGAGGTCAGTTGCAGCCTGTGAGGCCTCATCATATACAGGGCTTACCTTACTATTTCCAGGGAACAACCCCAGAAAATCCCTATAAGAGGATAGCACAAAAACTATTCTCAAATATGATATGGTGAGGGTATAGATTGCAAATGAAATCCCAAATGGTCAGCACATCCTTAAAACAAAAAATAATAATCTTACCCTTCATATAAGAATGAAAGAGCACTGAGTAAGACCTCTAAATGCACTGTTTGAATGATACTTAATGACCTGTAATTCCTGAATCCATTCTTCCATACAAAATCACACACCGAAACATGGAGCAATCAGCAGGAACTAAGGACATGTTTAATCTAATTCCTTATATCAACAAAACAAGTTCATTCAACATTATATCCCCAAGAAGATTTGGCTCATCTTATGCATTATTTAAAGGAAACTAAATTGAAGGTCTTGGCCCCATGTGAAGTGATGAAGATAGGAAATCACCAAATGTCTTCTTGGTGGCCCCAAGCCCTGAAATCCTCCATACTTTCTCCTACGTTAAGAAATGTCCCCAAATACCTGTTTTTTATAAAAATGTTAAAACTTTATTATTTTCTAGAGCAATTGAATGCTGATGATGCATGTTAGTTCATTTTGTGGCATTAGCTGTGTTTTATTTATATGATATTACTGTAAACCACCTCAGGCTCAACTAAGTGAAATATAACACTTTATGATATCCTTGCCTAAAGAAATAAACCAAAGTAACTTTAACCAAAGACTGGAACAGATTTAGCACATCAAATAATAATAATACTTCCGGAGTGACAAAACAGGCCTGTTTTTCAACCTCCAAAGGCTGCAGAGGCTTCCCTCGAGCCTCTGGGAGGCCAAGAAAGACCTCAAACGGGCCGAAAATCAGCTGGAAGGCGCACGCATGCACAGTGCAGGTAAGTTTGGCTGGGGCTTGCATGCCCACACAAATGGCTCTGCATGCCACTTCCGCGTGCCATAGGTTCGCCATCACGGGTCTATAAATATCATTGAACTTATAGTCTATAAATATCATTGAACATAAGATAACTAGAACTGTGAAAGTTCAAACCAGTTTCTATTTGGAAATACTTTGGAAGACATTCTAAAATAATAGATTTCAATCCTGCCACATTTGTTTATCTGTTCTAAGCATGCTACTGCAACAGGAAAGCAAAGGGAAAGAATTCCTAGGATATAAATTTTAGGGTTAAAAAAATTAAAATTTAAGTGAAGATACTCCGTATTATTTTGTCAAGACTCAAGGATCAATAAGAATTTTTCTCTATCTTATATTGTGTTTTATTTTTTACCTATCAATGTAATGGAAAATCCTTTTAATATTAATGCATCTGCTGAGGTTATTGAAAGATGAGAATTAGTATGTTACCTTTAATGGTAGCTGCAGTTCCATGACGAGATAAACCTGATCCAATCTAAAATGAAAGAAATAACCTAATGAATTGCACTTAGGCGAAATTTGGATAACTGGAGTAAATACCTGAAATCCCCTTTATTAATAGAATGAGAATAGTACTTTTAAGCTTAAAAATATTATTTTGTAAACACAAAATTTTAAGCTATTGTCTACTGCAATATTGTCTGCTGCAAATTAATCATATAATTGCTCTTTCATTGTGCTATTTTTGCTCGTCTCATAAAATATATTTTGGAATTTTAAATAATGTGAATGATTAATAGCACTCATAACAACAATGCATAAATAATTGCAATTAATAATACCTACAGACATCCAAATACATGAACATACAATGATTCACAGAATCCAAATCAACCCAATGTTAAACAACTGTAGAGAATAGAAACAATAATAGCTGTTTCATTACCAGAACAAATTCAACAAATTATGTAAATAAAAAAGAAACACTTTGGAAGAATTTAACAAATGTATGATTGTGGAATTTAACAAATGTATGATATTGCAGTAACAAATGTATGATATCAAAATCCTGGAAGTTGACAAAAAGCAAAGGAAGTAACAGATCCTCAATAAACTAAAACAAATGACAACCAGTTCTTACCTGGTTGTTTAGATCTAGGCCAGCAAAAGAATTTCGGGAACTGCATCCTACTGGAGGTGTTGCTTCTCGAATAAACTCTGACATCTCAATCCCTCCGCCTGGATCACTAAAAGGTAAGAAATTTTAATGTTTAATTTTAAAGTATTATTTTGGTTATCTATGTCAAGTTACACCAAAGGATAAATTTGAAGTTTCTTCAATTGCCAGTATGAAGTTAGAAGATAAAGTAAGATCAACACTCCAGTCATTACCAAGTTGGAAGGCTACAGGAACTGGTGAAATAACCCACAGAAATATGGAAATCAACAGAAAAAGAATCAGTAAAAGTTGTAACCAGACTGGAAAATGATATAGTGGCCGACAGAGAAGAGCCTTTTCTGCTGTGGTTCACTCACTTGGCTTTCAGAAAAAGGCTTGAAAACCTGTCTCTGTCCCAATGGGAGTGTCCCACTCTGGAGATGGTTAATAGGCTAAGAAGAAGATCCCAGTTCTACACCATGTGTACTGATTCCCATCTTATTATTTTATTGTTGTTAACTTTTAATGTTCAGTGTTGAGGTATATATACATATATATCTTTTTGCTGTGTTTATGTTGTTGTAAGCCACCCAGAGTTGCTCCGGCATATAAATTTAATAAATTAAAAATATCAAAGTAGAGTTAGTTAATAGAGCATGCAAGCTATCATACAACATCTTTAATTGCTAGCAAAATAATGCTGAGAAGCATCCAATGTAGATCTACTTAGAAAAAGATATGTCAAGATGGCTTTAGAACCTGAGATATTATTGCTAATCCAGACTGAATAACTGAGAACCCAAAGAAGATACTTGCTTCATTGATTATATAGAAAAGCCTTTGATAGTTTTAATCTTGTCAAGCTGTGGAATATGCTCCCAAAAAAAAAGGAATCCCAGAATATCTAATTGTTCTCATCACAACCATATATACAAGATAGGAAGCCACAGTGCAGCAGAACATGGTAAAATAAACTGCTCCAGATGGACAAAAGAGTGTGACTCTTCCCTTATTTATTCAACCTGTATGCTGAATCTTAAGAAAAGATGGATTGGAAGATGAGAATAGACACTTCTGAGGAAGAAATGGCAAACTCAAGATGTCTGTGCTAAAAACAGATAAACAAATATGGCAAAATGAAGACCCAGCAAATAGACATACTCTTCCTAATTTCTCTTGGGACAAAGAGAAGACTTCGGATCATTCACAATACTCTAGGCAGTTGCTCCACAAGAGGAAACCACAAGTCAACAATCTCTAGTGGGTTTTCCTGGACTCACAGGAACAGCAGGTGCTCTTCAAGGTCTTACCGAAGAATGTCAGAGTGTGGGCAAGTTTAATATTCCAAAGAATAGGAGCCATCAAGGAGAAGGCACTTCTTCTGGGTCCTGCCAGATGAATTTCCTTAGAGGAAGGGAAGGTCGGGTAGATGTAACAGGCAAGAGATGGTCCCTCAGATAACCTGGACTCAAGCAATGAAGGGCTTTAAAGGTGACAACCAGCACCCTAAATTGCACCCAGAAGCAAATCAACAGCCAATGCAGCTTCCAAAGGAGAGGTAACACATGCGCACACCTAGATCTGCAAAAACTATGCAAGCCACTGCATATTGAACCAACTGCAGCTTTTGGGTGCTTTTCAACCCATACAAAGTGCATTGCAATAGTCAAGATGGGAGGTAACTAGGGCATGAGTGGCTATAGGTAGGGGCTGTTGGTCCAGGAAAGGGATAACTGGTGCACAAGCTGCAGGTGTGCAGTGACCCTCCTGGCCATGACTGCCACATGCTCCTCAAGCAGGAATCATGAATCCAGGAGAATCTCCAGATTATGCATTGGGTCTGTTTGGGGCAATGCCATTTCATCCAAGACCAACAGTAGCAATTTTCCATGGACCAAAGAACCCCAAGCCCAGAGTCTTTCCAGAGTTCAGTTTCAGACCATAGTTTCCCATCCAGCTCCTAACAGTCACCAAGCAGTGTGAGTATCATCAGCATATTGATGATATATCAGTCCAGTGGGACTGATGATCTCACCCAGAGACTTCAAAGTATTGCTTATGACCTTTAAAGCCCTTAAAATTTTGTCATTATTTTTGCAATCACATCATCCTGCTGGCTCATTATCAGTAGTATTCAACTACAACTCCAAAGTCTTTTTCTCAAGTACTGTACTGCATTATAGCCAAGCCAGGCAACCTCCATGCTATATTGCTGCATTTGATTTTTGCTTCTCAGATGTACAACTTTGCTATTTTCTATATTCAAATTTATTCCATTACTTTCAGTTCGTTTCTCTAACCTATCAAGATTGCTGTTGGTTATTAGCTATCCCACACAGTTTTTATCAACTGTACTAATGAATACATAAGAACAGAAGACTGAACCATATGGCTCCCTGTTTGATACTTTTCTCTTGTTGATGATGAATTCCTTGATGATAGGAATTTTTTGAGCCAACTATGTACCCACTTAACTGTCATACCATAGAATCCTCTAATCAAAATCTCATGGGTATTTTAAAGCAGCCTCTGAGTAGGCATTAATGTTTCTAGGGCTACTATCTCCCTCTGTATCCTCCGCAGGAGATCAGTTGCTGGGACTGAGAGGAATAAAAAAGTAAACAGTTTCTCACACACTCACTACAGGCATTTTTTGTGGCAAAAGTCTATACGTACCTGAAAAATGAAGGCACCTGTTTGAAAATCTTGGATTTTCAAGTGCTACTCCATAGACTCTGGCCTATACAATGTATCCAGAGTGAATATATTCTTATGAATATAAGCATAATACAACCCACAATAACATATAATGATTTTAACTCAATAATCAAGGACAATTCTGTGTATTATTTTCTACTATTTTCAACAATTGGAATAGGGAATATATAACTGAATAGATAGTGAACAAGAACTCTGAAGAACACAAGCCAGCATAGCAAGTTTAAAGGCTAACCCAATCTTCTATAACTCGGTTGTTTACAAAATGCACAATAAACTTCTTTAGTAGTCCAGGGAAAATCAGTGATTAATTGGAGGCGGGAACCCACACAGGCCCATCACCCACTTTAAATCAAGACCTGGGGACAGAGCCAATTTTTAAGAGCTTATTGAAATGTAAGGAGAGCCATACAAATATTTTACAATTCTTTTGTTCTGTTCTATTTTCAGTTTGTACAAATTGGAATTTATTTATTCATTTTAATTTATAGCCACACTCTTGCCAAAGTGAATCTAGGTAGCAAACAAAATATTCATCAATATAAGTAAACCAAGTAAATTAGACCAAGTAAAATTAGACCAAGTAAAATAAACCAAGTAAATAAGATTGATTAATAAATAAGAAACAGTGGCCAAGAATAATGGCCAAGAATAAAACACTGAAATAAAATAATGAATCAAGTCTCACAAACTGCCAATCCCCACACATAAGCCAACAAGTCTTAAATGCTTTCTGGAATGCCAGCAGGGTATGGGGTCAAGCTAATTTCAAGTGGTAAGGTGTTCCAAAGAAAAGACAATATAAAATTACATATAAAGGTACTGCTCCCCCCCCCAAAGACTTTTTTTAATCGACTGAACCCAAAGCATGTACCTACAAGCAGATCTAATAGAGCAGGTAGAAACAATCACTGAGAAGTGGTCCTTCAAATATCCCGGCCTCATGCCATAAAGAGCTTTTTAGGTAGCAACCAGCACTTCGTTTACTGAAAGCTAATACAAGTCATAGAACAAAGATGTAACATGTGCAAAATGAAAAATGCTCATAATTGCCTACATTGCCACATTCTTCAACGATTATTGTTTATTGGTGCTCTTTAGGGGCAGCCTTATGTAGAATACATTGCATAAGTCCTTAAGTGAGCTGACAAAGCACAAATGATCATGCTTTGTGCTCTGGAGGATAACTAAAAGCAAGGAACAATTGCTATAAGCACTGAATAATGAAGAGACACAGTATGTAAATAAGGGTGTCGGTTTCTCCCTCACCCAACTTGTCTATCTTCTTGAATCATGGGAATAAGGAAAGTTGTTGTTGGGGATATAATGTCCTACAGGCAGGAAATTAAAATGAGGATGAAACTTTTCATGCAAATTTGTTTCAAGGGAAAGTTTGAATCTCTGTTTAGGCTGAACTTGGACCAATCTGCTTATCTTTTGTACAGAATGACTTTCAAATAAAGCCAGTAGATGGATAATCTGCAGTTATAAGTATAGTGGCAGGTAGGCCATAATATGAAAAAACATGTTTCCTACAAGGAATGAATCATTAATTAGGTCCACTGCTTAAGGCATCAGACTAGAAACCAGGAGATTGTGAGTTATACTCCTGCTTTAGGCATGAAAGCCAGCTAAGTGCCTTTGGGCCAGTCACTCTTTCTTAACCCAACTCGCTCACTAGGTTGTTGTGAGGAAAATAGGAGGAGGAAGGAACATTAGTTATGTTTACTGTCTTGAATTATTTGTAAAAATAATAAAGGCAGGATAAAAAATACAACTTTAAAATCATCTCAGAATATACATAATTATGAGAATATAAACAGTGACCCAAAATGGTCTCACACTGAAGATATCTTACCTGGGTCCATTACTGTCCCTTCTCTTGGTAGAAGAGTTATTCTGCTCTGCTTTTGCACTTCTGTCCATATGCTCACTGGCATTTCTCTCCACAATCTCACCTTCATCAAGTGCTCTGTGAAGACGGTAGTTTATCATCTTCAGAACAATGAAGAGAGTGGCTATCACTGGGCAGTAAATTGCTACTATCACCATAGAAGAAGGAAGAGCCTTTTGAAAAAGAAAAGGAATTAGATATAAGGAGGAAATTGGGAAAATTATTTTCATACATTTAGTTATATACACTTTGAATCTGATTATTCACAACTTGTCATGTACAACATATTCAGGCAGTAATTAAAATACAGTTAACAATATAAATATACATTATACATGAAAGAAGCGTTAGTTTTCAACCTATGTTTTGAACTTACGTTTTCTCTGGAAAAGAGTATTAATTGATAAAGACTCCTTTTAAAAATGATTCTGAGATGGAAAATGAAAGGAAAAGGGACAACATTAATATGTGACTTCAGTTACTCTTATGCAGCCTGGACAAATGCAGCCATCAAGTCACACAGAAAATGTAGTGATAACCAAACAGATGAAATGTAGTGATCGTCTAAGAGTCTGTATCATGCTGGTTATGGAACTGATCAGAAATGAGATGACCCTAGATCCTAATACTAAATCAACATAATCTTTGTTATTAGTGAATAGAAACAGAGCACAATGCCATCAAATTTAATTTAAATAGAGAACTATTAAGAAAGGTCAACATATTCATGCCTATCCTCAAACAGGACATTCTCAAACATGAGAGAGTGATTTAAAACATAACTGAAAGGGAAAATTGAGAAAGTGAAAGCTTTGCAACATGCTTTAAGATACTGAAAACCACAATTCAGCTACAGCATAAGCAGCAAGGAAGTAAAGGGACCGCAACGTCCAAAGCACTAGCTAGCTATAAGAAATAACAATGCAGTTTTTATGATAGATATCTCCCAAACTGATCTTCAACACATCTGAAGGGCTTAACATCCACCAAACGCATGTACGATGTATACGTGCTTCTATCCAGTCTGTACCAATTTTGGCTGGTGGGATCCAGAAAGCTTCTTCTGGCACAGCCCCTGCCTTTTAGAAGGAGGTGAGCTCTGTCACATCTCTATTAGCCTCAAACTAGGAAAAGCCTTAAAACTTGGCTATGCTGGTTGGCTTGAAGTTCTGACATAGAAGTTGCTGGCTGGAGGTGGTTGGTGCAGTAATAGAGAAGGCACCACCACCTCTCTATTCCAAACCCCCCTTTTTAATTTTTTTATATATTAATCTGTTTTTATATTTATAATTATCTTTGTTTGCATATTTTATCACATTGTAAGCTCAGAGTAGCCTGAAACTGTGAGACGGGTGGCATAAATAAATTTAATAAATAATAATTGCTACAGTATAACTGTATGCACCAACTGTCCTGCCCAAAAGTCTGTATATGTACTCTCCAGACCTCCACCCATTCCTGAGTGAAAAAAGCACATTTTACCTACACTTATTAGTATGTGAATGAATATGTTATATGTGTGAATAAGCAAATGTCATGAGTGTATTACCTGAGACAAAGGTTCCATGTGGTCAATCAGAGTAGAATATCTATCTGACTTAAAGGCAAATAGAGGATAGAGATCTTTATGTACAAATAGAAGCACAGGTTATTAAATACTCATGAACTCTCTAGCTGGATAAATCTTGAGCACAATTTTGGCCTTCTACATTTCTTTGACCAACAGAATGGTAACAGTATTTAATTTTTGTCCTATCAGCCAATCACAGGATACAGACATGATTGTTTTGATAATGACTGTTAAGAGCCCTGACTTGTTTCAATGTGTATTAGCTTTGAAGAGTAGAAATTATGGTAAATTAAATCTCTGACTATTTTAAGATCTAACTTAAAAATAGTACCTGTTTGGCAAGGAAGTTAGATTAGATATGGGCATTAGGCATTAAACATTAGTGAACTGCTGAATTATCTGTATTTGTACTCTTCATCTAGTATCAATTAATAATGAAGGGTTTATTTAAAATATATTTTAAAAAATAATTTTATTTTAAAAGTATATGTTTAATACTATATATAATCTCCATCACTATTCTACTCAAACAGCAATTGCTGTTCTGAATTTGTTAGCTTTTTCTTCACCATTCTTGACCTTTAATGTATTAAATGTTTTTTTAAAAAAATTTACATGTCAGAATTATCATACTGCAATTTAGATAAAATGTTTTCAGTTGTAAACTTAATATTCTGCAGTATTTCCTAATGGTAAATGGGCAAGTGAAAAAATTGAACATCACTATCTGCTTTAAAAATTAGTTTAAAAATCCTTTATTGATGCTTCTATTTATATTTCTTCTGCACATGTTGTGGGAATCAGAACTCTGAAGAACAAGAGTAATTCTGATAATTCTATTAAGTCATATTATACTTATCTATACTGAGTTGTTTCTAGAATTTAACAAAGCACACCTTTTATTAAGATTTACAGAGAGGGCCATCTTTTTATCTTTTAAAGGATAGCTTGGAGTAAAAAATAGTATTTTAATATTTGCAATTAGTCATTTAGCTTATGTGACATACTAATCATATAACGTATTCTAGACTTCACTGCGTCATAACACTTTTTGGGGAAGAGTGACACCTTATAATTTTTTTTTTGAAGAAATTGTCCTTGTCAAACTGGCTCAAGCTTACTTGCTTACCCTGAAGCACCATGGTAATGAAAAAACACTGCAGTACCCAATTGCCTCAACTCCCCAGAGATCTACTTACTTAATGCTGCAACTCCTTCAGTTATAATAATGAATACATCCTAAGAATGTTCATAAACATAACTGATGGTACAGAAAACACGCTGAACATTCTCCCAGCAGAATTTATTTTTTTTAATAATAGCAACAATAATATAAGTACCCTAAAATCAGAAATACTTATTAAAGACACTTCAGGACTACAACCTTTATGTATGCTTTTTGACAAGTCCTTAAAGAATGCTTGTGGACTATGCATTGGGCTAGAAGAGCCACTAACTTGATTAAAAGGATAGGTAAGTCTTCATGTATCCTCTAGTGAGAAATGATTTAATTAACAAGTAATGATGGAGAACACTATAAAATTCAATGTATATACAAGAAAAAATTGCCTCATAATTCCATCACAGAGAGGCTAAGGGGACAAACTTTAACAAATAGGAAAGAGGCAACAAAATAGTCAACCAAACTAATGGCAGCTTACTGTTGATATTTTTGGAGGAAATAATAGTCTTTGGAAAAAAGAAGTCCATTTACAATAAATACCACTTTTTGATAAACATCAAGAAGTTTTTTAAGTAGAAGCCACTTTAAAATAAGAAAAAACATAGAAGAACAAGTGTAAATGATTGATAAGGCAGAAGAAAAAAATTGAGGGCTAAATAATATGAAACTGTCCAAGCATGTAATCAGTGCTTGAGTAAGATTATTACTAGGAGATTTGTTGAATCTTTTCTCAAGAAAAATTAAGAAAGGAGAACTTCAGTTTCAAAATGACTAGAAGAGAAAAATTAGATAAAAATACGCACTATAACACAATGTTGTGAACAAAGCATAGTTCCACCTATGTCAAACAGTAACGCCGGGAGAAAATTCTGAGGTAGTTGATTAAGTTCATGGACCAACAGTCAGACAGTATGTTCCAATTCAAAAGTAATACTGAGCTTGTATTTTGACAAGAATAACTTAAAATACCCTATCTTCAATAATACTGAAAGCCTTTTTTAAAGTAGCGCTCCAAAAAACTAATAGGAACTTGCAGACTTTCAGAATAATTCTATTCCAAGAAACCAGGTACAATGTCATCACAGCTTGAATTATTAACAAAACTAAAATAATTTTATGGAAAATGAACCAGCTTTAATTCTAAAGAGGGATGTTTGGCTTCATCCAACTAAGAATATAAACAATTAGGAAGATAAGGGTAATCCAAAATAATCACAATTTGGTTTAGAAATTAATATATTTTTTACCTCAGGGGATTTCTGGGCAATGCATAAGTGACCAAAATTCAAAAATGTAATCCAATAAAGCCACCCAAAATCAAAACAAACTACATCAATCAGATTTAATTTTAAAACTCTTAAAACCATTTTTTAATGCTCATGCAAAGTTTCTACCAATGCTGTAGGAGGATATAACATATTTAAGACACTGGCATTGCCAATGCTGTTTTGACATGTTAAATTATTTTCCCCATATAATGAACAGAAAATTCTTCCATTCTCTCAGGTTATGGACAGATGAATTTAGAAGATAGAGTTGTTCAGATATTTAGACCAGTGGTTGCCAACTGGTGGGCCATGAAAAATTTTTGGTGGGCTGTAGAAGAAATGGCCCCGAAAGCAATTAATATGGCCTGCGCACTTCTCGCGCCTCTGGCTGTCTCCCTTTCCTTGGCTGCTTGCACGTGGTGGGGGGAAGGGGGAAGGAAAGAGAGAGAGGCAGGAGCAATTCAAAGCTAGAAAACTAATGGGGAGAGCTAACAGTGGGCGCTGGGAGAGGGGGCTGTTGTTGCCACAATGTGTGGGAGCTGGTTGGCGTGTGCATCTCAGGGACCTGACTCCAGGGTCCCTTGAAGAGTCAGGAGGCGTGAGAACTGCAAGTAGGAGCATTTGATGATTTCGAAGAACTCCTAGATCGTAGTAGATTGGTGTTTTGTAGGTCTCGGTGAAAGAGTGAGCTTTGTTTCACCTCCTTTCCTCCTGTGGTAATGTGAGAGATGCTTTCTTTCTCTCTCTCTCTCTCTCTCTCTCCCCTCCCCCAACCACAAATAATCACTGGCTGTGGTTGGGTTTGGCAGGAAAGTGCTAAAGCGAGTGAAGTGCTCCCAGGAATATCTTTCCTTGCCTGTCACCAGGTGAGGCTGGAAAAGCCCCCCCCCCCCCTGCAGCTTTTCCTCAGCTGCAGATCTGAGCTCTCTCAATCCTCCACCTGGGATCTGAAAGGAGCTCCCACTTTCTCCCCCTCGCCTCCCCCCAGTTAATCACTAAGGGCGGCAATCCTTCTGTAGAAAGATGCCTGCTGAGAAGCCCCTGGAGTGGCGGCCAAGGGGTGCTGCCCCCCAAGGAGCAAAGCCCCCTTTCTGCCTCTGCTTCTCCCAGCACCAGTTGCCCCGAGGCCCCTCAGCTCAGACACACACACAC